TCTCCCGCCTCAGCCTCTGGAGTAGCTGGAACTACATGCATGCACCACCACACTTGGATAATTTTTGTATTTTTTGTAGATACAGGGTTTTGCCATATTGCCCAAACTGGTCCCAAACAACTGGGCTCAAGTGATCCTCCTGCCTTGGCCTCCTGAAGTGTGGGGATTACACATGTGAACCACTGTGCCTGGTCTAGTATACTTTATTATTGAAGTATGATCCTCATCAAGCCCCTTTACTCCATAAGCCCTTTTTTTTTTTTTTTATGATGTGTTTACAGAATAATGTTTGGGAGAGCAAATGAGTAATATATTTGCTAGTTCTACTATAATGAAATTACAAATAATTATATTATTATTTGATATTGCTATCATAATTATAATTATATTCATTTTTGTATAACATAATTCTGACAAAAAATAAACATATTTTCTGTGCAGTTTTAAATGAAAATAATTAGTATTAATTTTGTTGGAGAATTTTATGGGACCCTTTTCAATTATTTAAAAATACTCTTAATCCTGTGAAAATTAATGTATATTTTTTAAGAACCTATTATATATAAAATACTAGATTGTGTGTTGTGCATGATACAAATGTAAACAAAACATATTCCAGTTTTTAAGACAATTGTTTCTAGTAGAAGTCATATACCAATTGACTATGGAAGGTTCCTTAAAGATAACACCACATGAAGTTTGGCTATAGCCTATGAGAGTTTGTAGAAAGTTATGATCGTAACTCTTTGATGCAGAGAGAGAAGATAAGAAAATACATTTTGAGAAGGTAATTGAAAAGGAGAGAAATGGGAGGAAATTAGGCCAGTGTAAGAATTCATAGTATGAGTTTGAGTGAAAAGTAATGAAGTCCTGATAAAAAGTAAAGCTTGAGAGCTGGATAAGAGAAAGATAAATGACATAAATATTTAAAAGCAGGGTTTGCAAGCTGTTAGAATATTCTTTTCCTGACACCTTCACTTTGTGACAGTACTCATTCTACTTTGCATCATTAGCAACAATGGTTATATTCTTCTTTTGACCCCATATTTATGGAGGTGGCAATAATACTACATTTTGTTTTTCTCCCACCAAAATCATGAGAACAATTATATGAACCATTCTTATTAAGCTTTAAGAATTGAATTTCATTGAAACAATGCAATTGTTGAAACAGATGGAATTGACAATTTTCATACTAGATAGCGAGGGAGGACAGTAAAAAAGGAATAATGCCATTTATATAAATACAAGTTGAAAAAAATGTTTTTTTGGGGAAGGTATTTAATTCACTCTGGGACGGATCTAGTTTAAGAGGCTAGAATTATAAGTAGATGGCAATGTTAAATAAATTATTGGACATTTTGTTGTCTCTTAGGGAAGTGTCTCTATCCTTCCTAAATGTAGGAAGAAATCTCCCTACATTTTAGATAAAAGTAAGGGAAACCAATCCCATTAACACATTATTATTCAAGTTCTTAAACTGATGGTCTTACCAAGGTGACATTGATAAGAAAAGGCAGTGGTAAAACATTAAGGAAATTAAAAGTTAGAAGGCAGGGAAAAGGAAAAACAAAAACAACAACACCTTAAAGTAAATTAGAAAGGTGGAACCAAAGAAAAGTAAAGTGTTTTATGTCAAGGAGGTGGGAAGATGTCAAGAAGTCTAGCTAAAGAATCTTAAGGAACCATTGGTCTGTGACTTTAAAGCTTCAGTGTGCAAATAGGAAGGAGCAACTGGAAAGGTAAAGATAGAAAAAGACAAGAAGGCGAAAGCATGCTTTTTGGAATGAGGAGCTGGAAGACTCAAACAGCACAGAGTGGGTAAAATTAGAAAGGAGTAGTTTTGAGAATATACGAAATAGGCATAAGCTATTTGATGGAACCAATTTTAATGGCTTCAGGAAAGTTGAAAGCAAGGTCAGCTGATGACAGAGCACAAGTAACAAAGTATTTCAGTGATTAAGAAAAGTAAAAAATATTTTCTATGGACACAGCAAAAGATGGGTGAAAATTATAATTAACAAAGAAGACTCATGTGACCCATCATTAATAATAAACTCTGGGAGTTTAAAGATTTGAATTCTAGCAGAAATTTTGCCTCTAAAACATGAGATGCTAATATTAGGCAAATTATTTAAGGATTCACTTTTGGCTTTTCCAGCTGTAAAATATTTTCTAACAGTACTTATCTGATCAAAATAATTTTGTGAGTCCTAATGAATCCACAGTAAACTTCTAGTGAATCATAGTGACTCTCACTGAAAGTGAGTGTTTCAGGTCTTTGAAAAAGAATAGTTACTATACAGCCATTTATAACCAGAACCATACTAGTATAATATAAATCCCAAGGAAATACTTCAAAATGTAGTGTTATACATACTTTACAAATAAATAACATGTAATATACATGTATACACACTATCCGTAGTCATAATAAATTATGTTTAAAGAATGAATTATTTATTATTGTTAAGTAACAGAAGAACAGATTTAGATCAAATTACTTCAAATTAACATTGAAAAGTATTATTGGTATAAGTTAATTGAAATAAATTAGTAACCAGCTATTTTTAAAATGTGTATCTATGTATTAATTAGATTGATTTTTATTATGGTTACTTGATGGTTTATGTATACATGCACTTTATGTTTTCTGAACACATAAAAAAGAATTGGCAGATATAACTAATGAGTCCTTTTTATTTTTCGTTTTTTGGCTCTGTATCACAGACTTACTTTTGTTTGCTCCATTTTGAATGGTGCCCTACTTTATCATCACTATAATGATTATTTCTTGTGGGGCTTTTATATAAATTCCAAGTTTATTCAGTTTCTACTTCCAGTTGTTTAAATTTAAAAGATTATTTGCATCTCCTGAAACTATAGTTTTTTAATTATATACATTACTTGTCCTGGCTTATTAAAATTCAGATTCATATGACTTCTGTTAAGTTAAGGTTCTTTATTTCTTTCCACTTCTCTCTTTGTGAATACCTTCAACAGAAACTGCTAAAAAGAAAGAACTTCTCTTTCCACAAGTGATAGCAGAAAAGGAAAGTAATAGACTGATAAGGATTTGGATGTAAGAAAATGACATCTGGATTAATTACTACCTAAATCTTCATATTCAAAAAGTCTTTGATACTCTAAAGTTTCTTAACTGAACTAATGAATTTACTCTTGTCTATACCTATTTCCCCATTTTTGACTTCACTTTTCTAAACTCGTACTCTTTTAACTGTCTAATTTTGCTGTATATGAGTTACATGGACACACTCAACAACTATACCATATTAGGTAGGAAATCATATCCTTGTATGTGAGATGCATGGTAAAATGAGTGTTGCAATATTCTGGGGAAAGAATAAGTATTACCTTGTTTAGAAGATTTTAGAACCATGAAATACAAAAGCAGGGCATCTGCATATATAGTGCTTTTAAAACTTGAGTGCGATGTATAACTACTGCTTTATGAAAACTTAAGCAACATATATGTATACTTATAAATTATTAATTTATATATTTATAAATTAATAAACTTTATTTTAGAGCATTTTAAAGTTCACAACAATATTGAACAGAGAAAGTTCCAATACACCCACCAGTCACCACACATGCACAATCGCTCTCACTGTCAATATGCTGCACCAGAATGCATATATTTGTTACTATTGATCTATTTGACACTGGCACATCATTATCACTCAATGTCCCTACTTTATATTGTTTCACTCTTGATATTGTATATCATGGGTTTTGAAAAATGTCTAATGATACTTATCTACCATAATAGTGTAATACAAAATAATTTCACTGCCCTAATCCTCTGTGTTCTTCCTATTCATCTCTCCCTTCTTCTTAACCTATGACAGCCACTTTTCTTTTTACAACTCCACAGTTTTGCCTTTTCCAGAATATGATACAGTTAGAATTATACAGTCAGTGTCTTTCAAAACTGGCTTCTTACATTTAATAATAAGAATTTGATTTTCTTCCATGTATTTTCTTTCTTGGGTAGAGAGTTTATTTCTTTTTAATAAGTATTTTTTTCTTTGTGTTGGTGAACCTCAATTTATTTATCCACCCATTTAATGAAAAACATATTGATGGCTTTTAAATTTTGGCAATTATGAATAAAGCCACTGTAAACATTTACAAATAGGATTTTGCGTGTTCATAAGTTTTCAATTTCTTAGGGTAAATATAAAGAAACATGATTACTGGATTATATAGGAAGAGCAAGTATAGTTTTGTAAGAACGTGTCAAGCTGTCTGCCAAAATGTCTTCCAAAATGGCACCATTTTGCATTCCGACTAGCAACAAGTAAGAGTTCCTGTTGTTCCGCATTTTTACTAATGTTAGATGTTGTCAGTGTTCTAGATATTAGCCATTCTATTAGACATGTAGTGGAATCTTAGTGTTTTAATTTGCAATTCCCTCATTATTTATGATATTGAACAATTTTTATGGGCTTTCTTTTTATTAACATAGTTTATTTTCTCATTCAGACTTTTGTGGTATATTTTTACAAGATAGCAAACAAAATTTGGTTCTTTGTATTAATATAGAATATGTAAGACATTGAAATATATATATATATGTACATATATATGTATATATAATATAACATTTAAGTTATAAACACAAAGCAAATTCAGCATCACTTAAACAGCAACTATATTTTCACATAATCAGGATTGCATAAGTAGATAAACACTAAATATATAAATAGTCTTTAATGCTTTATGTCAGTTTATATTTATAAAAGCTAGTCTGGAAACTAACACCACCTACAAAAGTGATGTGCTTTAGGATACAACTTTGCCATCATGCCATAATAAAGACTTAAAATTATAGAAATCCAGAGGGAACTAATCACTACAGTGCAATTGCAGCAGATAGAACTACCTACTTATGATTTTAAGTTGAACACTATGGGAATCCAGAAGGGATGTTTTCGAATCTCCAGTTGTTGGATTCTTTATGGTCCAAACATATCTTAATTTTGGTGAGAATTATATCCCCAACTCACCAAACTGTGATAGAGGGAAGTTGCATAGGGACTTTCTTCATCTCTGCTCCCTTCTTTTAGCTTCTTGGTTGCCTGGGTTGATAACTTAATCTGCAAGTTAAGTCTCTGCAGGAAATCTCTGCCTGATACTTCCTCAGGCTGAACAGGCTGAACATCAGATTCTTGAGGAGCCACCACTGGTTCCTCTTCCTGAGAAAAACTGTTACCAACAGTTTTATTTTCTGGAGAATCAATGGAGTTAAGTCTATTTAACAACAAAGGCTTCTCTGATATAACTGGGATGTTCAGAGTTTTCTTCAGAAATATACCATCATTGGTAAACAGTTTATTGGCCCTTTTAATCTGCTCCATCGTGACATTGTACTTGAGTGCAGTGTCCTGCCTGTAGGCTTACTTTCTATCTGTAGCTCTTCCTTGGTAAGGTGTCTGTTTGGATCTCTTCCCCATTTTTAAAATGAGTTGTTCATAAATTTTAAGAGTTCTCTGAATATTATGAATCATAGTCCTTTATTGGAAGGTTTCTTGCAAATATTTTTTCCCAGTCTGTATCATGGCTTCGCATTCTCTTGACATTGTCTTTTGCAGAACAGAGTTTTAAATTTTAACAAAGTCCAGCTTATGAGCTATTTCTTTTATGCATAGTGCTTTGGTGTTGTATCTAAAAAGTCATCACCATATCCAGACAGATTTTCTCCATTGTTATCTTCTATAATTTTATAGGTTAGCATTTTATATTTCACTCCATGATCCATTTTGTATTATTTTTTGTGAAAGTTGTAAAGTCTGTGTGTAAATTCACTTTTCTTTCTTTGAAGATTTGCTAGCTCTGTTTGCTCCATTGTATTGACTTTGTTCCTCTGTCAAAGATTAGGTGACTATATTTATGTGAGGATACTTCTGAGCTATTTATTGTGTTCTATTGATCAACTTATCTTTTCTTCACCAGTACCACACTATGTTGATTACTGTAACATTACAGTAAGCCTTGACATTGGGTAGTGTCAGTCCTCTTACTTTGTTCTTCTCTTTTTTGCTTTGAATTTAGTATTATGGGCCTTTTGCCTCTTCATATAAACTGTAGACTCAGTTTGCCAAAATGCATGTAACAATTTGCTAAGATTTTGGTTAGAATCATGTTAACCTTATAGATCAAGTTGTAAAAAACTGACACCTTGACAATATTGAGTCTTCCTATCCATGAATATGGAATATCTCTCCATTTATTTAGTTATTTTTATTGAAATCATTCATCAGAGTATTATAATTTTCCTCATATATCTTGCGCATATTTTATCAGATTTATACCTAAGTATTTCATTTTGGAGAGTGCTAATGCCAATAGTAACGTGTTTGTTTTTAATTTCAAATAACATTTGCAGGTATATAGGAAAACAACTATCATTTATATATTAACTTTGAATCCTAAAACCTTTTTCTAATTGTTTATTAGTTCAAAGAATGGGTTATAGGTATGTGGCCTTATTTCTGGATTCTCTATTCTGTTCTATTGATCTACGTGTCTCTTTGGGTACCAGTACCATCCTGTTTTGGTTACTGTAGCCTTGTAGTATAGTTTGAAGTCAGTAATGTAATACTTCTAGCTTTATTCTTTTTGCTTAAGAGTGCCTTGACTATTCAAACTCTCTTTAGGTTCTATGTGAATTTTAATTTTATTTTTCTAGTTCTGTGAAGAATGTTATTGGTAGCTTAATCAGAATAGAGTGAATCTATAAATTGCTTTGGACATTTGCCATTTTAATGATGCTGATTTTTCCGTTCTATGAGTATGGAATGTTTCTTCATTTGTTTGTGTCATCTTTGAAGTTGTTTACCAACTTACTGAGCTTTTGGGCTGAGAACGTGGGGTTCTCTAGATATAGAATCATGTCATCTACAAACAGGGATACTTTTACTCCCTCTCTTCCAACTTGGACATCTTTTACTTTTTTCCATTGCCTCATTGCTCTAGTCATGACTTCGATACTGTTTTGAATAGGAGTGGTGAGAGAGGGCATCCTTGCCTTGATCTGATTTTCAAGGAGAATGCTTCCAGCTTTTGCCTATTTATTATGATGTTGACTGTGGGTTTGTCATAGATGGATCTTATTATTTTAAGTATGTTCCTTTGATACCTAATTTGTTGAGAGTTTTTAACATGAAGAGATGTTGAATATGATTGAAGCCTTTTCCGCATCTATTTAGATAACCATGTGGTTTTATCTTTAGATTATTTTTATGTGATGAATCTCATTTATTGATTTGTGTATGCTGAACCAACCTTGTATCCCAGGGAAAAAGCCTACTTCACTGTGGTGGATTAGCTTTTTGATGTGCTGCTGTATTCAGTTTGCTAGTATTTTGTTGAGGATTTTGCATCAGTGTTCATCAAGGATATTGTCCTAAAGTTTTCTTTTTATTGTATCTCTGCCAGGTTTTGGTATCAGAATAATGCTAGCCTCATAGAACAAGGTAGGCAGGAGTCCTTCCTCCTCAATTTTTTGAAATAGTTTCAGTAGGAATGGTATCAGCTCTTCTTTGTACATCTAGTAGAATTTGGTTGTGATTCTATCTAGTCCTGGGCTTGTTTTTTAGTTGATAGGCTATTTATTACTGATTAAATTTTGGAGTTCATTTTTCTTCTTTCAGGGAATTAATTTCTTCCTGGTTTAGTTTTTGGAGGTTGTATCTGTCCAGTAATTTATCCATTAATTTATCAATTTCTTCTAGATTTTCACATGTGTGCAAAGAGGTGTTCATAATAGTCTTCTATTATGTATTTCTGTGGGTCAGTGATAATATTTCTCTCATTATTTCTCATTGTGGTTATTTGAATCACCCCCATTCTCCTTTATTAGTCTAGCTAGTGGTCTACTTACTGTGTTAATTTTTTTTTTTCAAAAGACCCACTCCAGCTTTCATTGATCTTTTGAATAACTTTTTATGTCTCAGTTTCCTTCAGTGTAGGTCTCATTTGGGTTATTTCTTGTCTTTTGCTACTTTGGGGCTTGGTTTTCTCTTGTTTCCCTACTTGTTTTAGAGGGGATGTTAGGTTGTTAAATTGAGTTCTTTCTAACATTTTGATGTGGACATTTAGTGCTATAAATGTGTCTGAGAAATTCTGTGTCTCAGAAATTCTGGCATATTATATCTTTGTTCTCATTAGTTTCAAAGAACTTCTTGATTTCTGCCTTAGTTTCATTATTTACCTCAAAGTCATCCAGGAACATGTTGTTTCATTTCCATCTAATTCTATGGTTTTGAGCAGTTTTCTTAGTCTTGAATTCTATTTTGTTGTGCTGTGGTCCATGAGAGTTGTTGATATGACAGAGGGTTCTTTTGCATTTTCTGAGTATTATTTTATATCTGATTGTGTAGTTGATTTTAGAGTATATGCCAAGCAAAAATGAGAAGAATGTATATTCTTCTGTTGTTTGGGGGTGGAGAGTTCTGTAGGTGTCTTTCTGATGCATTTGGTCAACTGATGAATATCTTTCAAGTCCTGAATATCTTTCTTAATTTTCTTCCTCAGTGAACTAGCTGTTACCATCAGTGAGGTGTTGAAATCTCCCACCATTATTGTGTGGGAATCTAAGTCTTTTTGAATGTCTCTAAGAACTTGATTTAGAGTTCTCCTATAGGAGATCTAGGTGCTCCTATGATGGGTGCATATATATTTATTATAGTTAGTTCTTCTTGTTGAATTGAACACTTTACTATTATGTAATGCCCTTCTTTGTTTTGTTTTGTTTTTATATCTTTGTTGGTTTAAAGTATGTTTTGTTTGAAATTAGAATTGTACCCCCTGCATTTTTCTTTTTTTTTCCCTCTTGCTTAGTAGATTTTTCTTCATCCCTTTATTTGAGCCAATTAGTGTCACTGCATGTGAAATGGGTCTCTAGAAGATAGCATATAATTGGATCTTACTTCTTTATCCAGTTTGCCACTCTGTGCCTTTTAGCTGGAAGCATTAGCCCATTTACATTCAAGGTTAGTATAGATATGTGTGGATGCACAATCCTACACGAGAGCCTTGCCCTACTGCTAACACCACTACCAGTACAGATGCACAGACAGTTGTCAGCAAGGTCCCTGTCCCCCAACGCATACTGCCACTGTTGCTGACAATTGACACCAAAGATATTCAGGACTTGAAAGATATTCAACAGTTGACCAAATGTATCAGAAAGAACTCTACAGAACTCTCCACCCCAAAACAACAGAAGAATATACATTCTTCTCATCTTCGCTTGGCATATACTCTAAAATCAACTACACAATCAGATATAAAACAATCCTCAGCAAATGTGAAAGAACCCTCTGTCACACCAACACCTGCACAGAGGCCTGCACCCTGGCACCCATTAGCACTCTATAGCAGTAAGCATGTAACTCGCTGTGCTGCTGCTGCCACGGCTTCTGGTACATGCAAATGAGTACATATCCCACTGCCACTGCCCTATGATGTGCTTTGGTTGGCACCATCCTTCAAAGTGTTGTAACCAGTCTTCCAGGATTACTTCAGCCCCTCCAACAGGTTCCTAACCTTGAGGAACAAGAAATCAAAGTCATGGCCTAATATCAATGGGCCCCCATCCAGATTTAGAAAATCCAGTCCAGGATTCCTGAACTAAGGCTTGGGATCCTTAAATCTTTCAGTAATGAAGCCAGTTCACTGAACCCATCTTATACCACAATCAATCTCCCATAGTCATCAAATAGGATACAAGAAAAAAAATCCAAAGGACAGCAGCTTTAACTACTGAAGGAACGTCAGCCCACAAAGTCATAAAAGAACCAGCACAAGAACTCTGACAATTCAGAAAATTAGGGTGTCTTGTTTTCTCCTAATGACCACACTAGTTGTCCAACAAGGATTCTTAACTGGGGCGATATTGCCAAAATGACATAAGTAGAATTCAGAGTATGAATAGGAATGAAGATCATCAAGATTCAGGAGAAGATTGAAACCCAATATAAAGAAGTTAAGACAATAAAACATTCCAAAAGCTGTCAGATAAAATAGCTAGTATAGAAAAGAACATAACCAATCTGATATAGCTGAAAAACACACTTTAAGAATTTTATACTGCATTTGCAGGTATTAGTAGCAGAATAAACCATCTGAGGAAAGAATCTCAGAACTCAAAGACTGTTTTTCTAAAATAAGAGAGTCAGATAAGAATAATGATTAAAAAAAGAATGAAAAGGGCCAAAAAAAAAAAAAAAAAAAAAAAAAAAAAAAAAAAAAAACAAAAAAAAAAAAAAAAAAAAAACCTCCAAGAAATATGGGATTAGGTAAAAAGCCTGAATCTACAATTCATTGGTGTCCCTAAAAGAGATAGAATAAAAGC